CCACCCCCCCCCTAAGAACTCGCGAACGGTATGTCGTATGACCACCAAATTTTCAGAGAATGGTGTACTAGTGAAAATTTATCATATCTACAATTTCTATGTCGTTATGACGTTTATGACGTCATTATGACGTCATTAATGTGATTTTATTGGCCGAAAACTGAAAACTAAATGGTATTCAACATAACTGTACCAAAAGTGTTTATGACAGAATATTATGGTGTACTAAGCCTTATGTTGCCCATAGCAACATTGGTGACGTCATAAAATGACGTCATGCATATTTAAGATATCCGCCATCTTGGATCATCAATTTTGAATTTTCAAAAATAGTTTTTTTTTCATGATAAAGCCTAAAATACATTGTAAACATACTAAAAACCTTCATTTAAACCTTTTTTGGAAAAAGAAATGGAAGTATTGATGAAATTTTGATGAAAATAACCTGTATATACCTGTTCTAATGATATGGTCCGCCATCTTGGATTTTAGCCAATGACGTCATCAAATTAGCATAAATTATGCATATTTAATGATAAAATTTACATAAAATTATATGGGATGTTATTAATATTAGAAACCATGAGTAACTTGACATAAAACCCTTTAAATTCTATTGCTGAAACAAAAAGTACTAAATTTAGCAAAAAATGCCTGTCAGAAACCCGTTGCCATGGCAACACAAAAAATTATTATCTTATTCCAATGATAGAGAATTGTTGCCAACAATATTCTAGGAAAAGTCACCAAGTTTGGCTGTTCTATGGCTAGCCGTTCAGACGCAAGGTGACATCAAAGTTGCCGCGGGGCACTTTTAGCCCCCCCCCCCCGGAACCTCAATTTCCCAATCCAAGCCAGCCTAGCGGGGACCAATAGGCGGGCAGCATTTCGGCCACACCCACAACCCGCGCTTTAGCAAGATATGGTTGAAAAAGATGTTTCTCAAACTTGTTCAAAAGATACATTTGTAAATGGTTTTCTGAAATTCTGTGTCTTTGAATAGTTGGAGCAAAATAACTACCGAGCCGAGTTAAACCATTTCGGCACTGGGCTGCTGGTGCTTACGTCGGCCGCGCGGCGTACAAAACAGTATCTTAGGCCAAGTCTTTGTCTGTGAAAATGTAAGAAAATAGGCCGTGCAGTCCTGTCCTGCCGATAACCTTGTTGTCCCGATTAAACTTTGTTACCCAGGCGGTATGATCTCGAAAATATGAGTGGCAGCATCTCGATACTGATTTGCCGATTTCGAGTTTCCAGTGCTGAAGCCGCCGACACACCAAGTGTTGACGTACCTTCGGCACTGGAGATCTAGCACGGAAGCCGCCTCAACTCTGTATACCGAGTGCTGAGAAAGGAACCCGTAACTTCGGTACTTGCATTATTTTCACCCCAAATACACCAATTCTTACATTGTTTATCTGACATTTCCAACTCGGATTACCTGCCGCGCCGTACGGAAGGATGCTGTTCAACCCCATTGTCGAATGGAATTGACCGCAAAGTGGGCGTGGCGCGGAATGCTGGTCACCCATTGGTCGCCGCTAGGCTATGTGGATGTGAAATTGATGTAGGCGCCCCCCCCCCTCTAGGTAGGGTTAAATGTCTTTTTTAAAGTTATTTTGTATTTGATACCCTGACTTCACTTCTTACAAATAATGTTCTTCTTATTCTGGCATTGCTGAAAAATACAACTGTTAATGAAAATTTCCATATTGTATGATTTCAGGTGCAGCACCCGTCCTTCACTCCTGGGTGAAGCAGAAACCAGAGAGACCAGCTCCAAAGCAGAGATGTTCTCCCACCAAAAAGCAAAGGAGTGTGTGAACCTAACAAGGTAAATGTTGCATGTCAACTACAATGTACATACTTTAGTTGAACATGCCAGGAAGTTTTGTATCAGTAATTTCTGCATATTTTTTTTTGATGCTAATAAAAACATACTTGGACTGCTTCACATTGTATATAACTTCTTGTAAAGAATACGACATATTGTTGATTATTTAGATGTGGCATTTTTTTCTAAAAGAAATGATGTACTCAAACATTGTCATTGGATTTTTCATTGAGTTTACAGATTGATGAACCCGAGGACTCCTCCGGCTACATGTTTCAATGACAAGCAAATGGTGGAAAACTAACTTACACTATACATTGTTAATTATGAATTAAAGAGTGTTACTGAACTGCTTTCAGTTTCTGATACATGTACATACTGTTAACACACATCTGTTTCCTAGTACATGTACTAGTAGAAGCTCTTTCCTTTTGTACTCAATGAACACTACATTGTATTTACACTACAACAGTATTTGTGCCTGATAAAATCAATCAACAATAGGATCATACTAAAACCTTTTGGCAACAAACAAATAATACATCTCGGACAACATAAGAAAGACATAAATATAAATAAAGAAATGAAAACATAAACCACCCGAAGCCAGGATCTCATCCAGACACTGTTTATGATGTTCTTATAATATTGTAAACTTTGGACAATCCCCGTCTCCAAAAACGTAGGACGTTTGGAAGAACACATGCCCCGCCTCTCCCACACTTCGTGAGTGACGAAAAACCTGGTTGGGCGCTTTGACCTTTGAATCTTCAGGGCGACCGCCAAAATTTCGTTCAAGAGACCTATTTCTACCGAGCAGGATCTCACCAAGGTATAGTTTTTTGTACCGTTCTATTCTAGTAAATTTCCATCGACAAATAATAATAATAATAAACGGGGGACGTTAGAATGACAACCGCCCCCCTCCCCAAAGTGACGAAAGTTTCACTCTACGTGCAGTCAGACATTAGACGCTATGATCGATAAATCTACGGAGAAATCCCTGAACACTCCACAAATTTCCACCCACAAGACTCCAGTGCCAACATTTTCAGGTTGTTGTGGCTATATATCCGGCTAAACTCGATATTTTTGACGCTTGGTGCTTACGTAACATGTAAACAAAGTAAATCACATACGCTATGTACAATGCCGCCCGTCCGAAACTGTTCATAATCGAAAGAAACATGCATTTCTACCCGCCTAAATCTATCCCACATGCCCACAACTACATTCTTTACCCGTGAAAGCCGTACTTCCGACAATATTTTACACTGGACGGGCAAAACTCACCGTTGAAGTTGGAGCATCGCTATCGACTGTGTTAGAACGTACAGGAAATCCGCGACCTCATCCACGCTCAGGCCAAGGACGTGCTCTCGCGAATATAGAATCAATATGGCGACTGTATCTGGAATGAGGTCTATTGCATTTTAACGTTGGCAAGTGCAAAGTGGTCTTACATTTGGGAAGGTCTAACCGGAAAGCGAAGTAAACTCTGGGTGGGCAAAAAATCATGGAAACAGTGGAAGAGAAAGACCTAGGTGTAATCGTGGACAACAAGCTTACCTTTCACTCGCATTCAGCCAACGCTGCGAACAAAGGGAACCAGTTACTAGAACTGATTAAAAGGTCATTCTACAACCTTGATGAGCATACAATCCCAGTACTGTACAAAACTATGGACCTCCCACATCTCGAATATAGGAACGTTATTTGGGGTCCTCATGTGCTTCCTTGGACCAGACAAAGCTCGAGAAGAGCGTTTAAATCGAGCAAATCATTAGAAAAAGAATACCAAACACCTTGAAATGTCCCATCACAAGAACAAAAAATATATTTACCTGTCATAGATAAAACCTGATAATGTTGAGGTTACACTGCGTCGTCCAAATTTCTTCACTACAGTATGAAGTCAACTAAGCTGAACACTCCTTCGTTCGAGACTTTTAATACCCACGGTGTAAATCGGTTAAGACAAGTATGCATGAAAAACCTGTTCCACCGTTTTTTTAACCTTTAACCCCTAAGCTTTCTTGGTTGCTGTTCGTTTTTGTGCAGCAATAATTGTTTTACCTTCCGCGCAAGGGTAGAAGGTGGTGGTTAGATAAAGGACTGCTATCACGTGTACTGTTTATGTCGCTCCAGTACATGTCCTTTCCTTGGTAAGTTGTACAGATGCAGTCAAAATCCTTGGCACTCACAGTCCTCCTCACACAACATCGGATAACGTTAATAATGGTTTAACTTGTTACACGTTTTGTAAAAGGTTCCGTGAATTTTAATGGCACTAAAACGCCACTAAAACGCCAGAAAAGCGACAATTGTTCCTGTATATTATCTTATGCAGCTTGATCGTTTTTGAGCGAACGAAATGGCTTAACCCGATCGGATTTGTAGAGCGGTCGGTGTAGCGTTACGGGGTCATGATGACAGGGACCCAGAACGCAAACGGGTCTCGGTTCGAATCCTGTCGTGTCCCCGATCTAGTATCCTTGGACAACTTTCCTCACTTCACCAAGGTTTAAAATTGGGAACCTGACCTGGGCTTTGGGAGGTAAAAGGGTAATTAACAACTCACTGCCCCTACCGCCTTAAAAAAGCTTAGTAATCCGGCAAATTACTGTTTTTTTTCTTGCTCCCGCTGTCGCTCCAGTGCATGTCCTCGTTCCCTTAAGTGGGCCCCGCATCCCGTACAATAAGGCCAGACTTGTTACGGAAGAGTGCTCGCTTTGTTACCTGAAGGTTGTGAGTTCCAACCCCGGCGGCCGGGTCATACCGGCCACATAAAACAAGAGCTCAACGATCCCCTACCTTCGCGAAATAAAGTATTTTTTATCCACGATTTTTAAATGTCTCTCACTGATTATGCAAATAAGATCCTTGCTTTATGTCGGTGTAATCTCAACAGAGAAAGTTATTCTAGAATTTCGTAATACATGCAAATTACTGATTTAAAAAAGTCATTCACTTTCACTTAAGTTTCAAACGTTATATGTATAAAGTTACCGGCAGTTGCCACCTCGAGGTGCTAGCAAATTAGGTCTTCATTTTATATCTGACAGTGTGTATGTTCTTATTGTTCTTCATAATATATGTCACAAGTTTGAATAGTTATATCATGAAACACAAAATATTTAAAGACTAGTTATTATTAATGCAAACCTGTAAATTAGATTCTGATCATTGTCTAATTATGTAAAGATTAATTTATTGTAGGCTACCTACACAAAAATTACGACAATTCGTCAATCGGTTCATGAGTTATTCTCCCTCAAAGATTTTTAACAAAAGCCCTGCAGATTACGCTTTTAGGTGGGCCTAAATTCATGTCACTTCTTCCTGAGCACAAAACAACATTCGTGACCGTAGCATGTCGTAATCAAGTTATCACAACCGCTCTATGTTTGTACTACAAGTAACCAACAGGACGATACAGAAAACGTAACCTTTTTGGCGGAAATATAAAAAAAAGTACATATTGTCTTGTCTACTTTGTAAACGCTAAGCATATTTACGACAGAACTTGGAAGAAACACATCCAAACTAGCCTCCTGCTGTAGTACTGGTGCCATTGTGTAGCCCAGGGGCTATTGAAATCAGGATGGAGGGGAAATAGCCATTGCATTTGTCCGCTTTAAAACGGATAACTCTGATAATTATCGTTTTCTTTTGTTCTATTTTGTAGAATGGTTCAATGGGACTGAAGATTTTAGCAACAAAAGTAATATCTACTGACAGCAAAAAAAACTCATTATAATAAATACACTTGTATGAATGAATTAATACATGAATGAGGCTTTATTTCCGTGCCATGCGCTTCACGTTCCCAGCCCGTGCGGGCCTGTGTGATGATACCAATTGATAATGACACAAATAGTACAGAAACAAAAGAGCATCAGGGGTACATAGATAACAAAAACAACCATAAAGTGAACCAAAAAAGGAACAGGTAAAACATATCCGATACGGATGTAGAGAGTGAAGGCTTTTTGAACTCATATATCAAATTATAAATGGAAAGAAACAGGTTCTATAGGCAATAAACAAAAATTTCACAAAATAAATAAAACAATATAAATAATTAATCTTCATTGATAGAACGTACAATTGATAGTATAATGATATAACAATAGTAGACAGAATACTAAATACAGTTGTAATTTTCATTGATTGAAAGTTTGAGAATATCAGAACAAATGTACCAAATTGAAGCACTTTTTACCACTTCTATATTGATATGTGAAAAGTGCAATACTAGTAATGTTGTCAGTACAATTTTGAAATTATCACAAGCTAAACAGAACAATAATGATACATTTCTTATAATAAACATAGTTTGCAAATTAGTCCAATAGTAATAACCACTTGGGTCAAATAAACAATTGATTTGAAAATCCTTTCTGTTTACAATAGTCTTTTTTTGTTTAGTTGCTAGCTTTCTTTTTGCTTTCCGTTCTAAACTTATAAGCAAACTTCACAGCGCACCATTTCCATGGGTACAGCATGTAAAGGCATTTGAACTTTATTAAATTAGAAACCCACAAATTAAATATAGGATGTAAATCAAAATGTACATTATGCAAGTAAACAGGGTATATAATATATACAGTATCAGGATTTGTAACTTTATCTTGCAAACCAAAGATGTCAATACAATTGTACAGCCGTACAATGTAGGTGATAAATGACTTATATACAGATGGTATTCAGCAAGCCATTATTGCACATAACTATGCAGTCATATCTATTATGTTAATGGCAAACGCTCATTTTCTTATTCCAGGTATTAAGGCAAATTCTACTGTTTGATTGCACAATAATGTCATCAAATGATTCAGGCACAAGCAATCTCTTTTTTCCCAGTTACCTAACAGTGTGAACCTATTTATTCAAAACTCATGGCGCTATCCAATCAGCAGAGGCCACGTTAAAGCACGCATCGGTTGAGTATGCTTATTACGTGGCGTCATCACTAGGCAAATACAAAATGTGCGTTACCATTTTAGGAGAGCACAATAAAGCTGATATGACTGCCATTCGATGTAGGTTAGCCATCTAGTCTGATCTAGACCTGTGACTCAGCTGTGTGGGTTTGACCGAAACACTCGTTTGTGTCGTCACAGTTACAATAGTGCAAAGTACCACGTGCTGCGGGCACGGCGCTCCTTGTCTTCCGAGCCGCAGTCACAAGTCTCCTCTTCCGCTGCCGTGCCGCTTCGACCCGGCCCCTCCCCTTCTCACCCATCATGGCGGAGGTCGCGCTGACGAACACAGCTGCTGTGAAGCTGAGCAGCAGGTACATGATGGAGAAGCTGGACGTGAAGAGGAACAGCGGACCCACCAGCTCGCTCGGTGTGGCCAGCACGTCATAGCTGACCTCTCCCCACGGCAGGAACGTCAGCCCGGCTGTGGCAGTGGCCATGGACCGGAAAGCCTCAACGTACGGGCAGAACAGGAGATAGCCTGCAAAATATGGGGAACAATGAACAATAAATTTTACCTTTGAAAAGGGTTTTGGATTTTTGTAAATGTATTGAAATATTATGTTTTCATGGGGTTGAAACGCATATGTACACAGAATAGGTTAGCACTCATGGCGTAAACTATAATTACACTATAGTTTATGTTTGATACCATGATTATACAGTACACATTTCTGAAGACTTCATTTTACATCCTACCACCCAGTGTATTCCGGGAAAGAACTGTGTCAATCAACTCACTCACTTCCTCGCTGCTTCAGACGACAATACACATACAAAAGTCTCTAAAGCTTTGCCACCCAAAACAATACTTCCGTCCCCGAAATATTCCTAAATTAACTTCTCAACATAAATGTGGAGTCTGTTCATGGTTTACTTTGCTTAACATTCGCCGAGTCGATGCTTGAGGTCTGTAATCGAAGGCCTTTGTTCAGAATTAAAAATAGGCAAAGAACGTGTTTTTCTATCCCGTTGAGAAAAAAACAGCTTTGGTTATAAAGGCTGCTATTGCTTCCAGTCCACAAACGTACCTAACATACTGAAGCCTGTAATGATCAGGATGAAGATGACCAGGCTTCCCAGCATCTGCGTGCGGATCTTGATGAGAACATCTTTAAAAAGGATGAAATACAGACACAGGTGGGAAAAGAAAACTGCTATATTCAATCAGTCAGTCAGTCAGTCAGTCAACATATCAATCAACTCCACTGTGACGGGTATACTATGTACTATAACAGTGAACAGTACTCTGAATATCAGTTGGTCATATATCTACAATAAAAGTAGTAAGTAGAAACTAAATTACAAAATGTACAACCACTTAGCATATCCATATATATAGCAAAAAAAACAGAGATTCCACTGCAGTACCGTAACAAGCCTCTAGGAGGTTCAAAATCTAGGTCTCTTGACCCAATCAGCTACCAAATACCGAGATAATTGATTAAAGCCTTCTAGAGTACTCTTTCTGTGCACGCACGCACAAACACACATGCAAACACACACGCACGCAAACACACTAACACACACACTAACACATACACATATACACGAACGTGACGAACCTCACTGAACAACCTTTTTAGCAAAAACAAGTAAAATCTGAGATTTTATACCGGGCTTTTTATTGTATATTTTTATATAGGGTTTTAAACAAAGGATTTATCGAGACCGGACACCCCTCTGTGTGAGAGGTCATATACGTGGACCAGACCGAAAATAGCTGAAACACGCCAAAGGTCAACAGTCGCGACCACTTTCACGCTCAAAGGGGTGTTTGGCGCCACCAAAGGCACCATTTTCACGCCCGAAAACACATATACAATAAAAACAAAAGAACGTGCATCATCTACAGCCCCATAGCAAAACATATACCTAGTCTCAAAAGAATCCGTCCACCCAAACGCGAGAAACAGCTGCGAACATGAAAATCTAAATCTCTCACAAAACCTTTCCGCGGAAGGATGTCTCCTCCCCCGGAGGTAATAAAAATCGGAACCGGTATCCACCGCCAACATGGCGGCTCCTAACTTTACGGTAAAGTCACGTGACTGCCAGTGCCCAATCAGAACTCACCCAGATACGTGCGGACCCGGATGCTGCCTCTCATCAGGCTGCAGATCCTCACCAGATTGAACCACATCACCATGGCGACGGCGGCGGTGAACTGGTCACTCCAGAAGGCGACATCGGACAGGTCCATGAAACTGCGTTGTTCTGTAAATATAGACAACATTATATAAATTTTCATATTCATACGGAGATTTTTAGACATCTTATTGATACTAAGTACCTTCGGCGGAAGCCTTATTTTGGATGTTGCTGTTTTATGTATCTTGTGCAGTGAGGATTGGGTGTGAGGGGACGTAGATCGGGTTTCAGTTGGTTGACAGGGTTGTGACCGTTTATACCCTGGGTTGTAGTCTGCGGTATGAAAATCATGGTGTAAAGCATAAACCGGTGGAGTTAGCTACGTCATACAAGTCCATGAAAAAGAACCCGTTCTAATTTATTCGGGTAGCTGCAATCATGCAATACAGTTACAATACATTAATGGATACTCAAAGTTCTTCTTTAAGCAGAAATGCAACAAAAATGTAGGCATAAATGTAGACAGCAGAAGACGTACCCTTCTCCTGTTCCTGGCTGATGAGTGACTTGGCTGTCCCCGCGAAGCCGTCCTTCAACGCGATCGCCACGATGACGTAGAGTGACGTCACGACCGACGCGATGTCCACCATGGTCCAGTCCTGAAGGACGGCTGACCTCCCCTCCTTACGCGCCTTCTTCACAAGACGGATGACCACGGCCAGGAGACAAGCAACAAAGACTGCCTTGGCCACGAAAAAGATGGTAGATGGCATGCCTTGTGCAGCCAGCGGGAATGTAGAAACGTGGAGGGTCGCGGCTGTTCCCCCTGTCGGAGGGAACTCGAAGAGCAGGGACACTGTGCTGAAGAGGTTGACATTCGGGTGATACAAGGTCATGTCCAGCACTAGAGCGGCCGTGTGCCGGTCGATCCAGCGGTTTGCTTCCAGGACTTTCAGCGCTTCCGTCGTCTCTGCTTTGGTCTCGCCGAGGTTGACGTTGTAGCTAAGCCCGCTGTACGAACCTATTTTCCCGCGGAGAACGCGACTAAATGACACGTTCTTGGACGCGGGTGCCTCACCTGGTGTCCCGCTGACGTACGGCATCACGCACGGCTTGTTGGAGTGGAGAGCCTTCAGTGGAACCTCGCACATGTCTAGGGAAGAGAAAAAGTCGTCAACAAATATAATACAACCTACACTTGTTTAGATTTTTAAATCATAAATTTAAATCATACATCAGTAAAAAGAAAAGATGGATAGATCTATTGGTTGATTGTCCATTAGTTGGCATGTCTTTTCGTGTATCAGTACAGTCAGGCTAACTTAGCTGTTAATGGCTGACGGATAAAAAGGGTAGACAAAACGCACTTGTCTGAGGAAGAGAAAAAATCGCCAACAAGTATCTAACCTACAATGGTTTATAATTGTAACTCATAGATTATTGCATCCAGCCAGTGCAAAAAAACTAGTAATTGATCAACGAATCAATAGGTTGGTTGATTGGATGATTGGATGTGTATCTGTATTTATGAACAATGACACATATTAAAACTTGTTGCCAGGCTGTCAGAGTTGCCAATGAATGACTGTCAAGTACAGTCGTAATACAAAAATAAGTGTTTAAATTAGAACCTAAGGTTTTTAAACAATAAGTTTTTTTGCAATATCTGTATTTAAAAATACAGATATTGCAGGGAATGAATGATTGATTGATTGATTGATTGATTGATTGATTGATTGATTGACTGATTGATTATTCAATTGATTTATTGATTGATGTTACCTGTGTGAGTCCTGAACTGCCCTAGCCGGGTCGGTCCCACACGGTAGGCAGGCATGTCGCTGATGAACAGACCGTTCCTCCAGTCTAACTGGTCGCCGTTGTACCGTTGTTCCGGGTACAGTTTGGACACAAAGTCGTCTTCAAGCCAGGGCAGCACATCGTACTGTGTCGTTACCTGGAACAGAAACGGTTTGTAACATTTGCTACCAAAACGGAAGTATTGTCTCTTGTTATTGATTGGGAAACGTCGCTGATGAAAGAAATGAATAATTATAAATGCCAATGTAGGAAATTAGATACAATCCAACCTACCGAGTTAGTGTCATTAAAGAATCCAGTTTTGAGTCCAGTGTTGATGGCAGGAGCGGAAGGACTCCATGTCTCATGCACCATCAGTAGAGCAGCTGTGATGATGATGATACCCACAATGCACTGCCTGCCGTGGCTGGTCAGCTGTAGCCAGTTCTTCCTCACAGCACGCTGCTGTTTCAGCTGGTCTGTCTCTACTTGTTCCTCTGGCCAGGCGATGCGGGGCTGGGTGGGAAGTGTTTCTGTGGGCGGGCGACATAAAATGTTAAACAAGAAATCTGAGAAAAAAAACTGTCGGGATGTAGTAATGGTTCGCGTTAATGTAATTCAAGGCTCCATCAAGCAAACCAAGCCAACTCTACAGGAATTTCTGATATGTTGAGATGTATTTCATGATCATGGGAGAATGTTTGGTTTTATTATATCATAAAATACATTATAAATCATAATTGCATGATGTACCCCGCTCCACCATTAACCATGGTTTGTGTCCCATACTTAATAGCACAGTGCACAATGCTTGCAACATCCTACCACACAGGGTATGCCGGGTCACAACCTTGCCAATCAACTAAAATCTTGTTTCCGCCCACTTTTTTTCCAATCTAACTTTCCAGGACAAGATACGTACTAACTCACAATGAACCAGCGCCACCCAAAACAATACTTCCAAGCCGAAAGCTACGAGCGAAAAGATATCGAATTTTGATGCTACAGGCGCCATGCTGGTTGACTGAAACTAAAAGAGTCGGGCCTGTGTTTGAGAAAAAAAATTGTTTTTCGGCACGCTAACCTCCAGAACCCTACAGCAACCTATCGATAGGCGTAATTAAAGTTGAGAGTAGAAATCACACGGCAACATGTAATACTTGCCATCGACTGCCTGACGCTTTCCTGCTTCGACATCTTCGTCATCCTTGTCGGCTGTTTCGCTCTTTTTTGGACGACAAGCACAAAGGATCGTGGTCCCAAAGGCCACAATAACAGCCTTCAATAAAATTATAAATAAACAAAAACGTTCAAATAAACTTTATGTGTACAACAACGTACAAGATAAGTTATGCCTAAAGCAAACTAATGCCAAAAACAATATAAGTTATGCCTAAAGCAAACTAATACCCAAAAATAAAATAACATAGTGTTCACTGAAACAGAAGTAACTCTTATTGTTAATAATAATAGGACCTATATTTAGCAGAGTATTTTCCTTGTTTACCATTTTATGTTTTAAAGATTGATAGAATAGATGAACATTTTACCTCTGCTGGTTGGACCACCACCATGGACTGTAGGAACGACAGTCCGAACGCTGTGAGCCACTGGATGGACTTGTCCCTGCCCCACTCCATACTGTACAGCATCAGGAAGAACCCCGAGGCCAGGGTGGTCAGGACCAACAGTGTCCAGCCCACGTACACGGACCAGTGGGGCAGCTGCAGGCCCGAAGACTTCGGCACGCCCTTGTTTGTGAAAACGACACAAATAGATATATTCTGAGGGTCCAATACTATAAGTAAAATATGATAGTATGGTAAGGCCACAGCAAGTATTTTTATGGATGACATCAGCGAGCGCATTGATTTTCGCCTGATTTTGGAAAAAAAAGCAAGAAATTTTGTTGCCTCTTGACAGTGGCCAACAGGTCGAAAATGGGCATAATGGCATGCCTTGCCATGTTGGAAAGTGGTTGGCAGATAAACAGGAAGAGTGGAGACAAGACAAGGGTCTGATTTATTGTTTTGACTTTTACTTTGATGCAGTGATGCATTGCATTTCTTTTGTATGTTCCCACTAAATCAAAACCACACGGCGGTCAATTTCTAGGGTAAAGTTTCCAATTCTACGGAGGTGTATCAGGTTACCGGGGTTCCACGCGCGGCTTCCGTGGAGCCAGTCTCAGCAGTAAACATTGTGTTAAGCAATAATTAACTGTTTCACGGGGACTCCCTTGTCCAAATGTGATAAAATCCGCACTGCATATAGCTCAAATGTTGTTGTTTTTATTACAATGCTTAAATGTGTGTGAAATCACTCTCAACGCGTAGAATGCTTATTCTAGAACAATCGACGTCAATAACCAAATAACTGATTTAAACCGACCCCAAATCTCTCAGAAAACTCCACATTTTTGCATGTTAGTGAACAGTATAACAAAATTAAGATTTGAGTCGGACAGTTTTCTTTATTTCAAAGTTAAAGTGTTGCTAAGGTCGAAAAATTCGCCAAAAAATGCACTTTTTCAACTTCCAAGACGGATAATTCCAGAACGCCGCCATCTTTAAAAAATCCGTCCGACACAGATCGAGATTTTTGTCTTACCTACAATTTAAAACGTTTCGGAGGTAAATTGAATTTGTTTTTCTTGCAGTTTAAATATCATGTTTACACGCATGTCAGGTCGTGTGAGTAAGTGCAGGGGGTAACTTATATACCCGTAAACAACAATTACGATCGTCAAGGTCACACACCATGACGGCAGTAGCTTCGTTACATGTTACATATCCACTATAAAACTGGGCATAGATATACTGTCCCGAAATCGGTTTATATTTGTGAAAAGGTGGAATTTGTACTGTTAGGCGGTACCCGTGTAAAAACGGGCTTGAAGCCGCGGGTTTACTGTACATGACCGCGGGTAACCCCGGATCGAACGAACGTTCGGTTCGATTGACGTCATATCGAACATGATTCTATTCGAATGACGTCATATCGAACATGATTCTGTTCGATAAAAAGGTTGGAATAGTTGGGTCCAAATTTGACCATCGTGCCATTTGTACAATGATTGAAAATCTTTCCTTTTTCAAAGCTGTTTCGGTGACAAATGGATGTTGTGATAGTTGGCAGTAAAGTTAGCAAAATATAGATATCATTTCTTGTTTAACAGGGTTTATGATGTCAAGATTTCCAAATATAGGAATCTAGATTTTTTGGGCCCGCCTTGTTTGTTTTTTCGCCCTCTCGCATTAGTTTTGGAGAGGATGTCATCCATAAAATTTACTTACCATGGCCTAATTACTGCTTCGATCAATGAGAGAGCGGTTTCATATTTGTCAAATATATACATTTCGTCGTTTTAACGGAGCTATTAGGACGATCTATGGGAATCTGTTATAAAACCGCAAAGATATGAGAGAACCGTCATATATAGCCTAACCCTAACAGCTACATATAAGTTGCGTGTTAGCAATCAGTTCTAACCATCATTTTGAAAACAAGTAATCTGAGATTATAGACGTCAGAAAAACATGCAATTCTCGACTTCCTGAATTTCCCCATGCTGGCTTTCATCAAGATTCTGACACTTCTATTCCCCTACCTACGTACTGTCAAACTACTCTGCTACAACAACAGATATTAAAAACAAGCTAGTCCGCTCAGTCACACCTAAAACAATACGTCCGCAAACGTAAATAAATATGCATAAAAACTAAATACGAGCCATCGATGCTATTTAACATGGTTGACCAGATTGCTAGATTGAGATTACAGGTTGTTTTCACCTTTGGGCGATATCGACGGAAAATCTGCACGATGATGAAGTTGACGGGAAAAGTCTGCAGCGTGGTCCAGAGGCTCACCCACAGTGTCTCCGCAGTAACCTGTGCGAAACAAAGGACACCGCTTTTCAAACAAGGGATAGGAGATTTACAACTTTCAGAATCCCCAAATAATTTTTTTCTTATTAAAACAGCAAAAACATAAAACATACAAGATGACTTCGAACTCAAGTTCCATGGAACTTATATTAACGGCGCCATCTACACAAAATGATTAAAAAGAGATATACTGATTACATGGACAAATAAACAAATATACAAAATCGAAACAAGCTAAAATTAGGGTTTAGTAAATGAACGTAATAAATTCCCAACCCCAATATATAATTTCTAATCGATCTCAGACAGAGCCATTTCCTTTGTCTAAACATTTGACCCTCTAACCGTCTTTCGCTCTGTGAAGAAAAAAAAATCACACAAAACCGCTCAAAACAATTCCGAAAGCAAAGCTAGAACCACTAATTCATACAATACGTCAGATGCGGAAGTTTGCGAAGTAGTACACAACATTGACATCAAATAAATCTCTGTTGTGCATCACACCCTTCAAACAACTCAGAATGTGCTTTGTGCAGGATTTGCACTAATGTTATGAAATTAACGGACTACGAAGGAGGGCGATATCAACTTCCGACCACCTTTGACCTACACCATTGGTCCGTTGGATCACGCCTTCTGACCAATTGTGTCAGACTAGGGACTAGGTCAAGATATCCTCGCTGCCTCTTCTAAGCTTCGAAGCTGATGGAAAGAGCAGAAATTGGCCAAATAGACAGATAAATTGCCAAATTGCCCAGGGAGTTGGTCCTCTAAGGAGTGCATTTGTCGCCTCCCTCTCAGGAGTTCCGAAGTCTGGTAGAGACTTCGGGAAACAACTTGAGTATACGAACCTCGATAGGCCCGATGGTGAGTACGACGTTCGATGCCCCCTGCTGGGATTCCTTGAACCACATGGCGCTGGTAATCATCTTACAGAACAGGAGACAGAGGCAGCACGACAGGCGCTACAATATGTGAAAATACAGTAAATTTACTAAATAGTTTCATAGTAGACATCAGATTTTTAAAATGTAACAATTCCAATTTCTATGCTAATGAATATGTTTGCAAATCCCTCTATATGTGAGTTCATTTAAAATGCTGTCCTTCAAATAAGAAAATGACTCTAAATTGTACAATCTGTTTGCTTGTTTGTTTGTTATGGGTTCACCACACCACGAAGTGGTGTGGTGAAACCATATTGCTTTTTCTGGTGTTTCTTCTTCTCCTCCTTCTTCTTCTCCTGCCATTTTTTAAATGGATTCAGCTTCTTCATTTTAGGGCCTAAGGTCCTGAAATTTGGTATGGAGGTACAGTGGGCAAATACCCCTAGGCGTTTTTAAATTTTTGTGATACAGGCTTTTAGAATGGTTTTATTTGAGTTTTTTGGCTGTGTTATAGCAAATGTATTACTGTGTTAGTGTGTCATGTTTACCACGTTTGGGTATGAGTCATCACAATGGAATGCAGGGCATCAACCAATAGGCATGCAGCTTTCCTCTATTCTTCTTGCTGATTGGCTGTTGGGATTTAACTTGATTAACACCTGCACAGAGCATTTCTTGCTGATTGGCTGTTGGGATTTAACTTGATTAACACCTGCACAGAGTATTTCCATACAGACAGTATGTCTGCATTCAAGTGTTTTGGTAGGTATTTCAAGCTTTCCTGCTCCAGCATTGGAATGCGGGGCATGAACGTTATTTTTATTTTGAAAATCAACAGTTTGCATTATGCAATTAAAAATCCTAACCAATAAAGTAGGGAATAGCTATCCAACTGTTGTTTTAGTCGTATGTTACTTCATATTATAGTTATATCAATGTAAATCATTGTTTTCCCTTGCGTTTCTCATTCTTTCCCTGCCATGTCGTAAAATGTGGTGAACCCATCGCTGTATTTGCTCCAAAGCAAATATTGGCCTTTCTAGTTTGTTTTCTTTTGTCCGTTTGAATGCATTGTGATAACGTAACCATGCGATTCTCTGATGGAATGTAGTGTAACTACAACACGATGGTTCACGTTTTAAACATTTCTGTCATACCGAAGCAAACCTCAATTTTGAAGTGAAACACAACAACATCATCATCATCATCACAAACACAAACTCCACATGCGAACATAAAACCTTGCATAAATTAGCGCAACCAAAAGCAATACTTTCGCCCATGGAAGTAAGTAAAATAAAGATTTAAGTGTACCTGCACGCGGGAGAAGTAGCTCTTGGGGCGTGACGTCACCACTGACAGCCAGACGTGCCCGTCCTTGAACTTCTCCCTCAGCTTGAGGCTGAAGCGCTGCCCCAGTGACGTCACCGCTGTGGGGGGCAGGGTCCTCCGGAGACAGCCGTCTCCATGTTCTACCCCGATCCAGTCGTTACACACGAACTGGGTTCTACAAAAAATGTAGTATTTCAAATACGTAGGCCACACCAATTTAATTTGTTGTTTCTCGGATTTTTTCAGACATAATCTGGACGAAACAAACAACAGGGCAAAGCACCCCATGGTAGCCGGAAATGTTACAATATGAGCCATTAAGTGAACATACCAGGCTAGTTGATAATTAAAACAAGAGACTTTGAACTTTTAATTAAACAAAATTGCATTGTTACATTGAAAAACTTAAGAACCAGGAAGAAAGGGACTTTTTTCAACCGTTGGGGCCAAAATATGTCTTTCATTGAGCATTTTGCAGTTAATTTAGACCCCCCCCCTTTTTTGCAAATCAGAAAAAAAACAGGGCGATCCGAGAAGCAAAAAATTAAATTGTTGTGGCCTTATAAACAACTCAAGCACCAAATGTTTTGTTTGCTTCCAACAACTTACATATAGTGTATTGCGAACTGTCATCTTTTTAAAAGGCAAATTTTGGAGCAGATTCGGATCTTCGGATCTGCAATCTCTAATACTGGAATGGCAGACAAATGAAATATGTGCCGACCAATATCCTTGCTATGGCATAGAATCACAAAAAGAGCGTACTAAAGCTGAAAAGGCTAAAAACTTACTTTGTTTTTAAAAACTTACTGTTTTTAAAAACTTACTGTTTTTAAAAACTTACACTGTTTTTAAAAACTTACACTGTTTTTAGAAACTTACTGTTTTTAAAAACTTACACTGTTTTTAAAAACTTACACTGTTTTTAAAAATTTACACTGTTTTTGGAATCAATGCAAAAATTTGACGAACAGTAGTGATTATCATACCTCTTGTTCGTCTGTAAATCTGTGACCTCCACCCTCTCCAGGAACCAGGAGGCATGGCGACCCTGCCCCGTGTTGTCGTGCCACACCGCCAGGCTGGTCAGCACACCCACAGGGTCAGGGGCCGTCAGGAGGAACGTGTCCACACTTCCGCTTTGGAAGGTCTGCAAAACATTACAAATCATTCATTGAGTCAAAGAAACCTGCAAAAGCATATTGGATGGTTGGAAGGGAAAGAAAGACTAAGACTAACAGAGAAAAAGAGAAGTACAGAGAGAGAGAAAAAGAAAGAAAGAAAGAAAGAAAGAAAGAAAGAAAGAAAGAAAGAAAGAAAGAAAGAAAGAAAGAAAGAAATGAGTGTGAAACATGTCGACAGAGGAGAAAAATGTTAGAAACTGAGAAAATAGAAAAGGGGTGAGAAACATGCCAACAGAGAGAGGGAGAGAAAGAGAAAGAGAGAGAAAGAGAAAGACAAAAGAGAAGTCGTGTGCATCACTAACCATGCCATCTTGTTGGAACGACCTCGGGCCCGTGCTGCCTTCATTACCGGTGAGCTGGAAGAAGACCTTTGACCTGGTCCCGGAACCCCAGTCATGCCCGGTGTGTACCCTCACTAAGAACCTGGAGCGGTGGGCTTGGCGGTTGCCGTGTACGTTCTTAACGGTCCACTAATCCATGCATAAAGAGTGACAAACACGCAATCATATGAAATACCGTGATACTAAATGTTGAACAATATAATTCAGACTTAGTCAAATGCTGCACATTTCATGTGGTCAATGTCAATTTCCGTCATATTAACATCTCTCAATGTACCCGAACACATAGGGTCCTATTTTTACTTTAGAATTGCAACGATATGATACACATGGAGCACAGGCCCGGCAGTAGATTACTGAACTATAGTGCACCGCAGATCTAGACAAGCCACAACTGTGAGCACATCTTCCATAGCCGATTGGAGTGTACTGTCGGGCCAACTGCATACTGTATTGCCGACTCATCTCAATGTTGTTAACGAAAGATTCACTTGGAAACTAAACCATCACAACATACCTTGGCAAAGGCTAAAAACATACATGTACACAAACAGACCTACTGGTGATAGCATGATGACCTATGTGTACAAATCTGCTTTATAATGATTCTTGTATACCTCTGATCCTTATCTCAATTTTTTTTTCTATTTTAGATTTTTTTCAATAAGAATGATATTCCTTAAGTATAGGAAGTTTATGTTATGTTGGTTATGTTATGTGCTATAGGTTTTAAACATGACTCCACGAAGACATGTGTAGTATATACTGTACATACTCCTAATCTTTCAAATTTATCAACAAAATACATGTAAACCTTCTGCTCGTCTGTATTATCCATCCTCCTGGCAGGATAGAGCAGGACGAAGTACATCCCCATCAGCACCACCATGGTGGTCCACACGGCGTAGTTGTTGACCAGATCGCGGAACTTGGCGAAGACGGCCCTGAAGTTGATCCTGTTCGGTTCGGGCCCGGCGGAGGTGCCGAAGCCCGTCAGGTGGTTACACAGGCAGACCGTGTGGGCCAGGGTGGATGTGGGACTCACCTGGAAATATAAGTAACAAGAATTCGGAGATCGTAGGCATCCATGAAATATTTAGGTCTTACGTGATGGTGACTATGTCCTTTATTTATGATGGTGTCTACAAGTCTTTTATTTATCGTGCAATGGAAACAACATCAGCTGTCAGTTGTCAACGAGGTCATGTTTAAAAAACACGTGTGAGAACAGCAAGGGGTACTGAATGTACACGTGATTAATGACTTAAACTAAACCCAACCATATACAATACACACACACAATCACACACACACACACACACACACACACACACACACACACACACACACACACACACACACACACACACACACACACACACACACACACACACACACACACGCACACACACACACATACACACAATCACTCACGAACACACGTACAGATAGACATACCAAAGACAGTACCTGTATTTTCTATGGAGGTAACGATACGAGTGTTTATAATTATAATTATCATGCCGAGTGCTTAGTGACGACTTTGGATTTCCCGTTGCTACTGTAGCAGGATCTACTGCGACGATGGCGTCGATATTAGTTGTCGTATTTTGTCTACTACATGACCAATCGAAAGCAATCAGAGAATGATAATCAATGAGCAAAAAGGGTAGCTGAATCAAAGAGCCAGAGTCTTATACGGCGTCTACACCAGGAGATGATAATTTCTTTTGCTACTCATCTAGCTTTTTTCTACTTTAAAGGGCTATAATAGTTGTGAGTGGTAGGAGAGCTAAAGGTCAAGAGAAAGCTATACCAGTTACGTTTCTTACCCGACAACCTTCTCCTTTCCACGAGCCGCGCCCTGCGTCCAGCCCCGGATCCCAGAACACACAGTTCAGCCGCACGATGTCCACCGAGCAGGAGCAGCCTGGACAGTCTGTAAGGAATGAATAGATGTTTTTTTGATAATAAAATACATCGCCAAGTATGGCTGAATTGTGTATTTAATACAGGCTTGGCAAACATAGCCATGTCACTTTGACACAATAACATCTACTTCGTACATGCACACATTAGTTGGCCTGTCAGGAAGAGCAACGATTATAATAAAATTTCTACATGGAGACCTTATACTTATATCTTACTGCCAAGGGCATGCCTTGTATCGAGTTATAACCCTATTAATCAACTGAAAAATCAACTCCGGGTCCGCGCTCGCTCACTTCGAATCGTTGTTCGCTGAGGGCGAGATTCATACAACCATCAACACCTAAAACAATTGTTCAAAACAAAAGTTCAGGTGCCACAAACTTGCTTAAAATCATTACAGCGTTTGTGGAACAATGATGTCACTTACCGTCCACCTGTACTCCTATGGTGTACTCCTCTGTGTCGTTGTCCACTGTTGTATCCGGTTGAAGGACGGTGAAGGCCGTGTGGACATCATCATTAGGCGGCACAGTCTTGGCGGTAAAATCGTCCCTAATAAAGTCTTTCCTGTAAAGATTTACCGTGAAGTTGGATAAAGTTACCAGGTGAGGGTAACACCCCTGTACCTTTATCCGTCACGGGTACCTTTATCCGTCACTTCTAAAAACAAGACATGCATCGATGCAACATACGTTATCCCTTTAGGTATGCACACATTAGACACACGAGAGTTGAAGACAAGCTCGCGATGGACTTAACACACATGCATTCGAAGTGTACGAGCTCCGCTGACTATCGTCCTTTATACGAAAGCCTAACTACGTCGTGGGAGGGAGATGCCGCGTACTTCTGCAGAGGATTAGCAGACAAATACAAAACGTATCTTCAGTTTTACAAAATGGTGAACAAGAATGCTTAATAAAGTTCCTTTTGCTAACCTGCGTCTGGTCTTTTGCTGTGATTAATCGATAAAAAACGCCATGTTATTGCGACTATTTTCCGTTCTTCCAACGTAAAATGGAACGCCGCCATTTTGGTTACCCAGAAGGCTTTGGGTGGCGCTTGACTCCAGAACTTCAGACGACAAAGGTTTGTGATGACCACTTTTTTGTATTATTTTGTGATATAACGTGAAGAAGAAAGTAAAAGTTTCGTCACATTTTCCTCTAAACATATCCAGGGACACAATGGTGTAAGTCTATTGCACTGTGTCAGGCAGAACAAAAACAGAAGGCCACTTGTTCAATCATCGAAACCACAAATGTCAGGTGACATTTGATAAGCACTACTAGGCCGGTTTATCACATGTGCACCATGCAAACCCTTTCGTAAAGGCCGGTATCGTACCTGCGTATGTGGCCGACCTCCTCCCATCCAGGACACCAGTCAGCGGAGGGTGAGGAGGGTCAAACCAAGGGCCATCGTGTTTGACGAGGCGTATGTGGAGGGTTTGAGAAAGGAAGGAGGGAGAAAAGAAAAAAGAAGAGAGGGAAGAGAAAAAGCGTAAGAAGATTGAAGAAATGGAAAGGAAGCGAAAGGAAAGGCTAGAAAAGAAACAGCAGCGGGAAAAGAAACAGCAGCGGGAAAAGAAACAGCAGCGGGAAAAGAAACAGCAGCGGGAAAAGAAACAGCAGCGGCAGAGCTCGACAGAACCAACCCCAGGAACATCATCGTCGGTAAGGAATTGCATGGATATTTTTCTCTAGATTTATGGACGCTAAATATTTAACGTTATAATTAACCAGTCGCTTGTATATTGTTTAACGGTTATCAACGCAATGAACATACATATGACCAAATTTTGCCTTGATATGTAATTTATGAACCATACTTTGTTTTCTCAGAGCGTCGGTCCAGACACATTCCGACCCCGCCGTGTGTCAAAGCGGCCGCTGTGGATGCTGGACTACACAACAGAGGTTCGTGTAAGCATTCATTTATGGTTCATATATGGACACAATTGGACGTGTGCTTTTTTACGTACCACTCTACAGGACCAATTGCAATCTAATCGTTTTCCCGATTTCCTTTCTACAGGATGATGACTGAATGGTGGTGACGCCGGTGGTGACGGGGCTGTTTGGTGACTGGCTTCCGCAGCCTGGGCGGGCTGAATTGCTTGTTTCGTTTACATAGTGTTGCTTGCGTTTCGTGCGCACTATAATAACTTTAAATGATCGGTTTAGCTAAGGATTTATGTATAAAACTCAATTCTAGTTATAACCTGTACATACATGATAGATATATTGTTTGCATTTAAACATTGTTTAAAAGGTTTACAATATAAGGCAGATGGCTGTTGGCGTAGCGCCTGGTGCGTGCTGTAGTGAGGTCAAATTTGCTTCTTTTTTCTTTGAATTGTTGACCTTCCTGTCACTTCGCATCTTGTCTGAGGGAGCCATTGATGGTAGAGAATTGATTTGTAAAGTTTTTTTCCCGAACTCGCGGCACATGTTTTCACGTCTGTCACGTTTGCCTCAAAGACTGTTCAGGAGTCACCCTATGTAGTTATTTTGAGTAATGATAACAATTTAACAAATCTAAGTATACAGAACATGTTCTGGTGTACACAGTAGTATCAGTCCATGAGATGAAAGTTGAAAATGACATCTACATTTAACGTTTGTATAATACGACTCGGATTTAAGACTCATCGGGTTGAAGTATGAAAATTTCAGTATAGAAATATGACAACCACAGTCGACTTGCAATATGAGAAATTCATTTAATGTGGATAGGAGAGGACATGTCATTTGTATGGATTCGTCGATATCACTGCTCTGCTACACCTCCACCACGACCTTGAGGACGTGGTACCCCCTCTTCAGGTAGCCGTCAGAGAGGGTGACCTGGAGCCGCTCCGGCCTGCCGCCGCACCCGTCCAGGATCCTCTTCCTGTCCTTTTCCTGGACCCACCCCACGCGGACCCAGTTGTCTTCAATGCAGGCGTACGTCATTACACCAGCGAAGGGTGCTCCAGGCCTGTGCCACTTCTCCATCTTCAAGGGTGAATCAGGAGATGCAAGTAGCTGGCTGGCTCCAACGCCATAATGAAACGTTTGGAGTGTGATAGTTTCTTTCTGTAAATCAATTGAAATTCGAATGCTATATTGAGTACATGAGTACATGACTATTGACATTGTTTGGGTTATAAAAACAGATCCCGTTCTTGAGAGCAAGGGGGTTGTTGAGAGAGATGTCATTGCGATTGTATCATTGTAAAAAGACCTAAGCTAATATTGTTGTATTTCCACGTGGCAGATTCTGTCATTCCTATTTTCTCCATTTAAGGTAAGCAAATAAAGGTACTTACCATTCTGATGTCGACGCCTCCGTCCTTGACAAAGCAGATGTGGCGTTTCTGTCACGACTTGATTGTGGCGGGAAACGTAGCTGGACTAAACCATTACCAAGTAGGATGTCTACGCTATATGTTACATATTCATCTTAAATAACTTTCTTTTAGTTAGATAATCCAACAATGAACAACAAAAACAATAGCCAGTAGCAACTTTTTAATAGATGTGGCAACCTATAGAACCCACTATGCATCCACGTCTTAACGCCCCCCGTTCTTGAAGTGGAGACATCCAGAGATAATGGTCTATCGACGATACCACTATCAAATTAGGAGACGCCAGACGAGATTGTGAAATACAGACTACCAAATTTTTATAGTTGATATCATATAAAAGAAAACCTGCAATTCTCTAACAAAAGATGGCACTTCATTTAATTGCATAAACACCAACATCGTAGTTAGCCGTGTTGTTTCCCAGTTTTGCACTCGGGCCCCTTGAACCTTGAGAGAAGTATGTACGACGACACCAATAGCCTTTGCATGGGTGAGGCAAATTAGCAACAGGCTTTAACTCAAGAATCAATGCATTTTACTTAGATAAGAATTAAGCATCTTTATTGTATTTATAGTTGTCACTTTTACATAGCTAGATCGAACATTGTCGTCACCGATTCTCACTGAGATAGCTGCTCTGAGCTGGACCATTCCCCCCGGCCGGCATCATAGACCCGCCGTGTCAACTTTGACCCACATGCATATCAGTAACGGCGGCTGCAGGGTGGTAACCATGTGCTGGACGGCGATTCTGTAAAGTTTTCCGGATTTTTTGGTAGTAGAAACATTCATACTACTGTTACAGTAACAACGTTATGTGGACGGGGAAGTAATGGAACGCCAGAAGTAAATTTTACGTCATAACTGTTATATCAAGCCGCGGAAAAAATCGGGCGTTGTCAACACTGTTACAATCGTTTTGCCGTGTTTTTTTTTATCGTGAGACATCTTTGTATTTCGGACACACATTACCCACCGGGGGAAAATAACAGATGTTGTCTATAGGTAAATAATACAGAGAGAGTTATGGTGTGTATTTTCGTGACGGATAAAGGTTCATCTCTCTAGAACACGCCTGTCATAAACGCAACTTGGCCGTGTATGATTTAGTACGCGATTTTCTCAATCAGCGGGATCGGGGAGACAGTGAAACATTTTCAGCAAAAAAGGACCAAGGTACTCTATGGTGTCAACATATAACAGGACAAAAAATAATGGTTCCTATTTTTAGATATTGGCATCACATGTCTGCCGCTGAGAAAAAGTGACGGATAAAGGTTCAGGGGTGTTAACACAAAATGATTCAATTCCATTTTGTTATATTTTACTTTTATTCATTAACAACATGAACGACGTCATAAGACATCGTATTATCACAAACATTGCAAATCTTTAAAATAATCACCTCACACATGATTCTATAGACTTCTGACCGTTGGGAAACCATTGAGAGCCTAAAATATCTACACACATTTCTTGGTGGTTTATTGAGCGTTTAAACAAAGATTTTTCAATGAGAAATACAAGAGTTCCACGATCTCATACCTTCGCCAAATGATGTTAACCCTTGCGGGTGACGAATTATACAATTTTAACCATTGATTTTGTAAATAAGAACCTCATTTGCATGGATTATATCAGTTGATCATATTCTCAATCCAATGACAGCCTAATTATAACAAAAAGGCTATTATAGCACTTCATCATAAATTATGCAAATGAGGTAAGGATTTGAACAAATTATGTTTATTGATGTTCACCTTCACTTAACTTCCAAATGTGGCAAGTATGAAATTCGGGGTGCAACAGTTACAGCTATGGAATTATAAGAATTTGCAATTAATTATGCAAATTAGGTCCTCATTTACATAATCTATATCCTCAGATGTTTTTCCTCGTTCTCAAATAGATGTCACAAGTGTTTCATAGTTCTAGTATCGAACAAAGCAGATTTATAGAATTCCCTCATTATTTATGCAAATTAGCTCCTGATTTGCATAATTGCCACCTGATTATGTCAAGCATCACTTCAACTACCTACAAACCAAACTTCACAACAATACGTCAACCGGTTCTTGAGTTATCGTCCTTTATTTTTTTTTCAACAAATGCTCCAGCAGTTCCAGAACAAGGCGCTAGGGGACCCAAACTCATGACACTTCTTACCTACCCCAAGAGCTATCTACCAACCAAAATTGGTGACCCTAGCATGTCCAGAACATGAGATATCAAAACCCGAAGTTAAGCTGCAGTACCTAGGAAAGCCGCCAGGGGGCCCAAAATCTAATCATTTCTAGGTCTCATGAAGACCTATCGACCTACCAAGTTTCATTCCAATCCATCCACTGCTTCTCGAGTTATCTTGATAAACCACACACACACACACACACACACACACACAAACGCTACTGAAAACATAACCTTCTTGGCGAAAGTAACAAGGTATTCTAATGACTTCTAACCTGGATGCAATTGTTTCAGATTCACCCGTTGCCCATGCTTAATGGTATCACCAAACAGATGTAATATGATCGGTTCTAGTTTTATTTTTGCCAGAGAAGTGAAGGGGAGAGCGTGCCAAAGTCTGACATCCTACATAAGGCGGGAGTGGGCGGGAAAAAAAATTAAAACAGGCATAGGCATCCTATTATGGCCCAAAATGGTACGATAGGAGCCATGAAGTCAACACACCAGGCTGGTTCAAATTGAAACAATGAATTTTGAACTTTCAATGATACCACTGCATTGAAAGATTGACTGTAACAACTAGGAAGAAAATGACTGTTTTTAACTGTTCAGGGCAAAATATTAGCATTTTGCAGTTGATTCTGATTTTTTTTTTTTGCAAATCATAAAAAAAATGAAGCGGGCGAATCCTAATGATCTCTATGACCAGTGATTTTGGAAACTCGTCAGTTGTTTGACGGTCTCCTATGTGGAAATACAGCCTTACTTGAACTCATGGTCCGTCTCGTTCGGGAAGTCCCCCAGCTTGCCGTACATGACAGCGGCCGGGTAGGGGGCCACCAGGCTGAGCAACACACCGTACGTCTGGTTCCTCCTGGCGCTGAAGGTCCGGTACACCATGGTGTCGTTAGGGAACGGGGAGTACTTCACCAGGCGGGGGGCGGGGAACATGTCAGGGGCGTTCTTCAACACCACAGTGATGTCTTCCGACAGGTCCTGCAGTAAATACAATACGTATCATTACTACTTCTATACTTCATTACTTCTTCTGTAATAAGTGTGCTGCTAAATGTCATTTCTTTGTTTAATGGTTAATTTTTGGGCTAAATCATTGTAGATTTCCAATGCATTTTTAATGGCATTTTACTTTTGTGTTTCCAATAGTTAAATCTGCTTTTCACCCCAAGTACTAAGTGATTTTTTTGGATCTACAACTCTCTAGATGTTTGTGTTTAGTATTAAATGATAAACACAATGTGGGCATGATGTGGGTCGCTTGGGATACTTCCATATGTTGATTGCTCAGATAAATATATGTGTCGGTGTTTTACATATCCTTGTATCTCTAACGTTTCTTGTGAAACAAACATTGGAAACCTGTAACAAAAAAAAAAGAAAAACACCAGGTACGGAGGTATTTTTGTGACTGAGTTGACTATATGTTCGGGTAGTGTAGGTTGACAGCACGTGGTTGGGGGTAAGATTGACAGGGAGAATGGTAGGACACAGGAAACAGGATTAACTTGAGAGTAGCCTGACAGCACGTGGGCGGAGATTTAACAAGCTAGGCATAATAACAGGCGGTCAGAAAGTCAGACATAAGTTTAAATTCTGCGAAACCTGTTGAGGTCATATTTCAAAACCGGGGCCCGGACGGGCTGTTTCGAATAACGAAAAATCAGACATTTTTATCAAAAATATACGCAAATAATTCCATTATTGATTTTTTTTAACATTTTCTTGTGCTTTGTTGTCTTTTATACCATATTGTTCGCTCCATAACACTACCCGGCCGGGCCCCGGTTTGGAAATGTGACCTCAGCTTAAAAACACCACCTTCACGTTGATGTTGCCCCTCCCCGGTTGCTTCAGCTCGATGTCCAGGACAGATGACTTGATGTCCTGTGCTGAGTGGTCCCACACGAACGGGTTCCGGGCATAGCCAACAACCTACAGTCCAACAACGGGTTCTAGTATCTTTAAAGGCATCCAGTGTAGTATTTAAGGCTTTGAAACCCGATTTATCAGAGCCAATATTTTAGTCATTTATCTACGTACAAAGTTGAAAACACACTATCCCAATGCATATTGAACCTCATGGAGTAAAAATTACCAAAATTCTGACGGAAAATGGTTATTGGAAAGGCCCTGTGCTGCTTTTCATGGTACCACCCAAAAAATACTAAAGGACTCATCTTGGGGCTCGTTTCTGCATTTTTAAAAGCCCAAGGTATGATATGCTGACTCAAATGTACTAGTGTAAAGCAGTATGTGTCAATATCACAAAGATTGCCTTATTCAGAATATTTCCAGTTTGCTCCCCTGAAACCGCATTGGATGCCTTTAAACTGGAGTGAAAGCTGTGAGAAACAAAATGACATTTTGAGAATGAAATATGGATATACTCTAGCTAGAAATTGAATTAAAGAGGAATTTGGAGGACCCAGGGTCCTCTACCAATAAAGAAACTATCCCCTGTGAGGATCTAGTAGCTAAATTGACCCCGCACATCCTCCCAACATCATAAATGGATTATAAGCCACGGGGTGTCTGAACCCGACTGCCAGTGGAAACAATGGGAGCAGACGACAGACAGTGATTTGCATATTAACTGACGTTTGAAGTTTTGAAAAATGTTGTATTTTATCTTCACTAGTTTTTCAACAAAACATTGCCATACAAGAAATGACAGACAGTTGCAGCAAACCTAATCACAATCCATGTAACATTTACTTGGCAGTCGTTATACACGATAAGGGCCTACAGTTTCCAATTTGAACAATTCCAGCAGAGATGAGCCTCTGTCAAGCTTCCATGTTTGTTTCAAAAACTTATATCTGTAATCACAAATTGCACGTCTTATCCACAGCCAAACTAGATTTCTATTGATATGATAGTTGTATGTTAACAAATATACAATGTAGAAACATGTAGAAACACATTTGGCGGCTTCTTGCATTATATATCAGAATCCAAGTCTGAAATGCTGAATAGATGAAGTCCCAGTTTACCAGGATTGGCATAGTACATGCCTGTGTAGTTATTAGTGTATATTCTTGTTGTTTAGTAAAATATTATATGTACTCTTCATGTACATATCCATGTCTCCACATAATGTTGAAGAGGTGTACTTGGTATACTATCTCAGCCTAGCTCTCCCCATGTGTTCACCACGGCTGCCAGTTGCAGAATGAGCTGTGAGAGTTTACAGTACCCGAATTTATTGGGTGGTTTTATAGTCCAACCTTCCTCTTTAAGCTAAAAAAAATAAGGCACATACACAGTTGCAATGGAAACTTTAAAACATTGAATATGCATTGTCACGATGTTTGTTCATTCGTCTGTTTGTTTATTTTATTTGGATCTCTATTAGCATGTTCGTATTTTATTTCATTCTCAATATTCTTCCCGCAGTGCAGCCCATGCAACACAAAGTAATCGCATTAAATGTACAATAAAAGAATGTACACAATTGTTATATAAAAATTAATCAAAATAGTAGTTAAAGGTAAACTCAAATCAGCAGTAGAGTGATGTAATTATGACCTAAACCTACTTCTCCTCTATTTATCACAATCTTCACTATAACATCTCATAAACTCATCTAAGACTTAGGCTAAGACGCAGTTTTAAATCTTGCCTTGATGTCCGCGTCTTCGGCAACTCCTCCCTCAGACAGGGCACGAGAGCCCGGGAACGTCACTCCTCCCGCATGCGCAGAAACAGCTGCTCCTCCCAGCCTCTCCCCTGTAGCCTTCTCCAGGACCATCTGGACAGCCTTAGACCCAATTTCGACTCGCCCAGTGCTGTCCTTGCTGTTCAGTAAAGCGTCAGCAATGCTGTCAAGGCTCCTCTGCAAACCCTGGGTCACATCACGTTGCTGGATACATGAAAACATACATGAAAACATAATAAATGGTGCTCAATCATTCGTTTTTGTGGTTACACAATGATGAACTTATGTGATCTGAAAAGGGTTGGATGCATGATGCCCGGTCGTTCTCTACAAGTTATTTAGTTCACGCAACTAAAGCAGGATTGTTGTTAAACCGTTGCACACATTAACAATATCTTGACAAACTGACATATAAGCAAACTAAAAAATATATATATAAATATTCCAATGAAATCTTGTCGTCATTGTCGCTACCCTTACTTTTTGTGTGTTTCGTATGATATGCCTACATTTAGAACGAATTGGGCTTTCCCTCGGCATTGTGACGGCAGTAGTGGGCATGTATGAACTAAATGTTTAAGGTTCTAGAGCAGTTGTGCGTATCAAAAACGAGGCTTACATAGGCCCATTGTCGCTCCTGTTTGTCGTCAAGTTTCTCCTTCATCTTCTGACGAAATTTCTCCCGTTTCCGGGGAGGAAGCCTCTCCAGCACTGCGATGTCTTCCTCGTCTTCTGAGACTGCTTCCAGACCTCCCGACTTCATCAGGGATGCTACCGTGTCCACCACAGCTAAAAAAGGAACAAACAATACACCAGGGATGTCGGACGTCTAGAGTGTATTGAGTTTATTGAGTTTCTAGGGATCGTTTGGGCATTGGAAAATGTCTTGTAACTGTAAGTTGTATGGTCATGGGAAAATTTCCGGTTGGATTACATCAGAGACGTTGACCTATCAGAAGGCTCCATTTCCCATGGGTTCAGAAACCTCAAAAGTGGTCGGTTATCAAATTAACCGACATTTTGGACGATACCATTATACAGAGGACATCAAGACTTGAAGTATTTATCTAAACGGAATCAAACTTTTTCTCAGACTTCGCCTGAACGTGCCAGCAGACAGCTTTCAAGCAGACGCTTTCTCCTGTCTGGTAGAAGTAGAGAAATCTGGAGTAAATGTTGGGCGACAGGAGTGCGTAAGTCCTTAGAAGAGTGCGGGTTTGCTTCCTTGTGTCATTTTGAAATTCCACATAGCACAAATACTTTTCAAATTGTCAGTTCTATTGGCCAACGGTTGAAATGAAAGACACATTATTTCAAACGTTCCTTAAAGAAATGCATAATGACAACAATGGTGGAGCTGCCAAAATACGTTAAGACCATATAGACATATACATATGATAAAGAAAAATACCGAAGTAATGAAAATGTAAAGACCAGGAATGCAATCATAAGACCAAGGAGGTTAAAAAAAGACTAAGGATCAGCTACCACAAACTACAAATTGAAACTGGAAGACATACCCGCACACCTTCTGCACAAAGATATATGGAACTATTATAATTTTAATAGAAGAGATGACAAATGCCACTTTGTTATAGAATGTAGATTATATAGTAAAGAGAGAAACTATCTGTATAGGTTTGTACAAAACCTATTTCCCAACTTCATAACTTGAGCACTGTAGAAAAGTCCATATTCATAATGCAACTAGATAAACCTTCCATTGAAAGCATATCTGTTCTTTTTTCTACTATAACTGAATTTATCTAATGATAGTAGGGTTTAATTTGTATATGTTAACTGTATCTTTTTATCATGTTTTGTTTTGTTTTTGATCTGTACTTAGGCCAGTGTGGCAAAGGTTTGCAATAAAGGTCGTCATTTATTAAAAACGTTATGTAGTTTATCTTTGATAATTTATTTGAAATTACAATTAAAAAGATATAAATGAAATTCAAACGAAAAAAGATTAAACTTAATCTTGACACCCCCTCTAAACGTTGTACTGTTCCAATGCCACGTGATCACCGCAGATGATTGCCTAGATGATCTGTTTTTCTGTCCACGCCATCTAGTTTCACGTAACATGCAATATGAGAGTTTTCTCGGCAATGAAGGAATGTCATAAAGGAATTTGTGTCAAATAACTGTGTCATTTGGAGAGGCAATATGATAATTAGATAATAATGTTAATGCCCCGCCTTATCACTTTATGATCACTCCTACGATTGTGTATGACGTAACTCCGGTATTATTCCGTGGAAAACATTCCTGGCGACAACACAAATTTAACCACATC